ATAAATTCCATTTGCCAAGGCTGAATCAAGATCAGGTAAATAAGCTGAATAGTCCTATAACCCCTAAGGAAATAGAAGCTGTCATCAAAATTCTCCCATCCAGAAAAGGCCTAGGGCCAGATGGTTTCAGTGCAGCTATCCACCAGACCTTCAAAGAAGAACTAACACTAATATGCTTCAAACCATTCCACAAAATAGAAACAGAAGGAACATTACCAGCCTCATTCTATGAGGCCACAGTCAACTTGTTACATAAACCACACAAAGACAACAAAGAAAGAGAACTTCAGACCAATCTCCCTTATGAACATTGACACAAAAATACTCAATAAAATACTTGCAAACTGAATTGAAGAACACATAAAAGTTGTCATCCATCATGACCAAGTAGGCTTCACTCCAAGCATGTAGGGGTAGTCCAACATACAAAAATCCATCAATGTAATCCACCATATAAACAAACTGAAAGAAAAAAAAAAAACTTGATCATCTCCTTAGATGCCGAAAAGCATTTGACAAAATCCAACACCCATTCATTTTTAAAGTTTTGGAGAGATCAGGGATACAAGGCACATACCTAAACATAGTATATACAATATTCAGCAAGCCTATAGCCAACATCAAACTAAATGGAGAAAAAACTTAAATCAATCCCACTGAAATCAGGGACAAGTCAACGCTGCCCACTCCCCATTTCTTCAACATAGTAATTGAAGTCCTAGCTAGAGCAATAAGACAACTAAAGGAGATCAAGAGGTTACAAATCGGAAAGGAAGAAGTCAAAGTATCACTTTGCACAAGTTATGATACTAACGTAAATGACACCAAAAATTCTACCAGAGAGTTCCTCTAGCTAATAAACATCTTCAGCAAAGTAGCTGGATACAAAATTAACTAAAAAACAAAACAAAACAAACAAACAAAAAAGGAAACCCTTCTGTATACAAAAGACAAACAGGCTGAAAAAGAAATTAGGGAAATAACACCCGTCACAATAGCTACAAATAACATAAAGTACCTTGATGCAAATCTAACCAAGAATGTGAAAGACTGAGAAAATCTTCAAGTCTCTGAAGAAAGAAATTGAAGAAGCCAGAAGATGGAAAGATCTCCCATGCTCAAGGCTCAGTTGAGTTAAAAAAGTGAAAATGGCCATCTTACCAACAACAATCTACAGAATTAATCCTATTCCTATCAAATTACCAATGCATTTCTTTACAGACCTTGAAAGAAAAATTTTCAACTTCGAATGGAATAACCAAAGACCCAGGATATCTAAAACAAATCTCTACAATAAAAGTTCTTCTGGAGATATCTCCATCTTTGATCTCAAGCTGTACTATAGAGCAACAGTAATAAAAATGGCATGGTACTGGCATAGAAACAGAATGGTGGATCAGAGGAATCAAACAGAAGACCCAGAAATAAACTGATACTCTTACTTGCACTTGAATTTTTACAAAGAAACTGAAACCATACAATGGAAAAAAGATAGTATCTTCCACAAATGGTGCTAGTTTAACTGTAAGTCCACATATACAAATAGACCCATATCTATCACCTGCATAAAATTAAAGTCCAACTGGATTAAAAGCCTCAACATAAAATCAAATACACTAAATCTGATAGAAGGACAACTGAGAAAGAGCCTGAAACTCTTTGATACAGTAGACAACTTCCTGAACAGAACAACAGTAGCACAGACTTTATTGATCAGCAATCAATAAATGGAACCTCATGAAACTGAAAAGCTTCTGTAAAGCAAAGGACACTGTCAACATAACAAAACAACAGCCTACAGAGTGAGAAAAGATCTTCACCAACCCTATATCTAATAGAGCAATAATATCCAAAATATATAAAGAACTCAAGAAATTAGACAAAAACAAACAATCCAATTAAAAATGGGGTACAGAGCTAAGTTGAGAATTCAAAACAGAGGAATATTGAATGCAGAAAAACATTTAAAGAAATGCTCAACATCCTTAGTCATCTGGGAAATGCAAATCAAAATAACTCTGAGATTCCTTCTTATACTGATCAGAATGGGTAAGATCAAAAACTCGAGCAACAATATATGCTGGAGAGGATGTGGGAAAAGGGGAACCCTACTCCATTGATGGTGGGAGTGCAGACTTGTACAATCTCTTTGGAAATAATCTGGCTTTTTCTCAAAAAATTTGGAATAGAGCTACGTCAAGATCCAGCTACAAGAATCATTTTCTTTTTTTAAGTTTCTTTACTACGGTATGTGAGTGCTCTATCTGTGTGTACACCTGCATACTAGAAGAGGGAATCAGATCGCTGTATAGATGGTTGTGAGCCACCATGTGGTTTCTGGGAATTGAACTCAGGAACTCTGAAAGAGCAAACAGTGTTCTTAACTGCTGAGCCATCTCAGCAAGTCATCACAAAGTCTGCTGTGCACCTGGTGAAAGGTACTCTGGTTCTGTCCTGCACCTCTTAGTTCTGCTTTGCCAACAAAACAGATCTGTTCGTTCAGTCACCATAGATTCTTGTAACAGGCATTGTGTTAGTAACCAAGCATGATGTTGTAAGTAGAAAACAAACATGCAACTGTCAAAGAGACAAGTGAATAAGAAGATGAAAGACTGGCTGTGAATGGCATGTTACAGACAGACAGGGGATGCTATGACTAATAGAAGGAATGAAAAACAGAAGTTTGGGTTGTTGGCATGGGGAAGAATAGTCCAGGCACTTAAAGTTGTGTGTGTGTGTGTGTGTGTGTGTGTGTGTCTGTGTGTGTCTGTGTGTATACAGAGAAAGAGAGAGAGAGAGAGAGAGAGAGAGAGAGAGAGAGAGAGAGAGAGAGAGTCAGAAATTACTCAGGGCTTTGGGTTTGATTACACAGGAATTATTGGAAGAAAAGGCAGGAGAGACCACACTGAAAGAGGTTTGGAACCCTAATTGTGAGTCCCAGACTGTACTTCTAAACCACCTCACACATGAGAAGGAAAGGAAGAAATTTTTTGAATGATTTTGGGGTCTTTCATGAACAAAAGAACCATCATAAGAGACAAAGGAAAGGAATGTATCTGAATTTCAAGCAACTCTCATCAGCTCTTGGACTCTACTAATTCTGCCTTTTGATTTCATTATCTTCATAGTGTTGACTCAGTAATGAAACTCTTGCAAGTGAAGCTTTTGGATATTCTCCCTCGATTCATCTTCTAGAGACTGGAGCTCATTTCCCCCCTCTATTTCCTAATTCAAAACTGTGAAAAAGGCATTGATCTCGCAGCCTAATTCAATGCCATACTAGAGAAAGAGTGGAAATGATCTTTTTACCTGGGAGGAGCCAAGAAAAGATTGGATCTTTCCCTTATGAATGGTGTAGAAATGTCTTTCTGTCTTCCTGAGAAAGGTCTGACTCTTAATAAGAGTTTAGAATAGATTTTTGTGTTTTTCACTGTCAGGAGTTATTGTTAATGTGAAAATATTAGATTACCACCATAAGCAGCATGTAGAAACAAACCAGTAAAGTCTTCTAAGTGTGAAAAAAAATCCAGCTATACCACCCTTACCCATATACCCAAAAGATGCCCAATCATTCAACAAGGACATTTGCATAACTATATTCATTGCAGTTTTACTAGTAATAGCCAGCATCTAGAAACAACCTAGATGTACATCAAATGAGGAATGCATACAGAAATGTGGTATATTTATACAATCGAACACTACTCAGCAATTAAAAACAAGGAAATCATTAAATTTGCAGACAAATGGGTGGAACTAGAAAAGATCATCCAGAGTGAGGTAACCCAGAAGCAAAAAGACACATGTGGTATATACTCACTTATAAGTGGATATTGGCCATATAGTATAGGATAAATGTACTAAAATCTATTTACTAAAGAAGCTAAACAACAAGAGGGTCCTAGGAAAGATGCTTAATCCTCTCATAAGGGCAAACAGGATGGACATCATAAGTAGGAAAAGAAAGGGACCAGGACAGGAACTACCCCCAGTGGGCCTCTGAAAGACTCTACCCAGCAGGGTATTGAAGCGAATTCTGAGACTCATAACCAAACTTTGAGCAGAGTGCACAGAATCATGCTGAAAAAGGGAAAGATATAAAAGCCTGGAGGGGACAAAACTCCACAAGATGACCAACGGAGCCAAAAAATCTGTGCTAAGGGGGTTCTGCATAGACTGATGAACTACCAAAGGACCATGCACGAAGAGGACCTAGATACCCTGTTCAGATGTAGCCCATGGGCAGTTCAGTTTCCATGTGGGTTCCCTAGTAAGGGGAGCAGGGGCTGTCTCTGACATGGACTCTGTGGCTGTTTCTTTGATAACCTCTCCTGGCAAGGTGGCCTAAGTAGGCCACAGAGAAAGAGGATCCAGACAGTCCTGATGAGATTTTTTTTATTTTTTTATTTTTTGTAATGAGAAGTCATCACATACTTTCCTTCAGAATGATGTGTTGACAGATACATCACTGCACAAATACCAAAGCTAGAGTTTTCTAGAAAACCTGAAGACTGAATGAAAAGAAATAAATGGAAATAAAATAATTTTGGTCACACTACATAGTCCAGGCAGTTCTCAAACTCTCACTTTTCATGCTTCAACTTCTCAAGTGCCGAGATGACCCATCAGCCACAAGAAGTAATTCTTCAACTAAGACCATGCCATGCCCATACATTTCTGCTTGACAGTGATCAATGCAGCCCACCTTGCAATCAAAATGAGACCCTTGTCCCTGCCAGGCCTGTCTTTATTTGCTTTTGATAACAGACTACAAGGACTTTGGTAGCAAATGACAACAGCCTTTTTAGGAAGTCGCATTACATTATCTTTCCCATAATCACCACTGCTAGCTGTTGTCTAAGAACTTTTCCAGGAACTAGGGAAAACAAAACAAAACAAAACAAAACAGGAAAAACAAAATACAGTGTCACCACCCACAGTCAGCTAGTATGAATTTATAAACAATGTTTTAAAGAAAAGATTCTTAAAATGGCTAGAAACACATCACTCATAGAACTTAAAGCTCCTGTTAAGAGACAGGGAAAGGACGGCTCTTACCTGGCTCTTTTTGGTTGGAATAGTGGTGTTCCTATTAATAAGTTTGGTGAAGACACCTCCCAGAGTCTCGATACCCAGAGAGAGAGGAGTGACATCCAGAAGCAGCACATCTGTGACATCACCGGCCAACACACCTCCCTGAATGGCAGCTCCAATGGCTACAGCCTCATCAGGATTAACTGCTTTACTTGGGGCTCTGCCAAAAAGATCTTGAACAGTCTGCTGAACCTTGGGCATCCTCGTCATGCCACCAACCAGAATCACTTCTCCTATGTCACTCTTGCCGACTTCTGAATCCTGCATAGCTTTCTGGCATGGCGCAATAGTTCTCTTGATTAGATCTGTGACAATGCCTTCAAACTGAGCTCGAGTAAGCTTCATATTTAAATGCTTGGGTCCAGAAGCATCCATTGTAAGATAAGGCAAGTTGATGTCAGTCTGCACAGATGAGGAGAGCTCACACTTGGCCTTCTCAGCAGCTTCCCGAACCCTCTGAAGTGCCATGTTGTCTTTGGTCAAATCAACCCCTGTCTCCCTCTTGAACTCCTTGACAATGTGCCGTAACAAAGCTTGGTCAAAGTCTTCACCTCCTAAGAAAGTATCCCCATTGGTGGATTTCACCTCAAACACTCCTTTCTGAATTTCCAGGATAGAAATATCAAAGATTCCACCACCTAAATCATACACAGCAATGACCTTATCTTCAGATTTGTCGAGACCATAGGCCAGAGCAGCAGCTGTAGGTTCATTAATCACTCGAAGTACATTTAGCCCAGCTATCTGGCCAGCATCCTTAGTGGCCTGTCGCTGTGAGTCATTGAAATAAGCAGAGACTGTGATCACAGCATTTTTTGCTGTGTGACCCAAGTAATTTTCTGCAGTCTCTTTCATCTTCATCAATACAAATGCTCCAATCTGACTTGGAGAAGAGAGTTTTCCATGAGCCTCAACCCACGCGTCACCATTGGAAGCACGGACAATTTTAAAGGGAACATTCTTAGTGTCTTTCTGCACTTCGGGGTCATCATACCGACGTCCAATAAGACGCTTAGTAGCATAGAATGTATTGTTTGGGTTGGTGACAGCCTGTCGCTTTGCTGGCATACCAACAAGTCGTTCTCCATCTGCTGTAAAGGCAACTACCGAAGGGGTAGTTCTGGCACCTTCAGCATTCTCCAGAACCTTTGCCTGTTTGCCCTCCATAACTGCCACACAGGAGTTAGTGGTACCCAAATCAATACCAACAACTGCACCCTTGATAGCTTCTGATGCATAATCCCTTCTTGAAACAAATCTAAAAGCTTCATGACTAAGGCCATTCCAGCCATCCTGGTGATGGGCGGCCGCCGGGCTCCGGGAGGCTGCGGTGCCCACGAGACGAGCTGCCGCGGCCCTGCTGGCACTGATCATGGCGGCTGGACAGAAGGGGTGCGAGGCAGAGAGCAGACACCCAACAGGCCCGGAGCTGCGCGCACGGCCGTGGCTACGCTTCTGGAAACCGAGATTTGATAGGCTAAGGTCAGATAGTAGGGGAGGAGAACCTCTCCTATTACTAGGAGACGAACATAGGGAGGGAAGAGGGAGTGTGACTGGGAGGAGATGAGTGAAGGGGCTACACTTGGGATACAAAATTAATAAATTGTAATAAGTAATAATTATAAGAATAAGGAAAAATTAAAATTTAAAATTAAAAATTAAAAATATACAAAAATGGCAAGACATGCTGGGGAAATGGGGATGCTAATTCACTGTTGATGAGAATATAATCTGGTCAGCCACTGTGAAAATAAGTGTGAAGCTTTCTCAAAAAGCTAAAAATAAAACCTTCATTATAGCACTTCTGGGAATGTTCTCAAAGAACTTCACAGCAGAGGCACTTGCTTATGCATCTTTATTCCTGCTCCTTTTATTGTAGCAAGGAATGGAACCAGCCTTGATGTCAATGCAAAGATAAATGGATACCTTAATTGTGATCAACATATACTTTGGATTCTATTCATTTGTAAAGAAAATAAAATGAAGTCATACAATTTACTGGAAAGTGCATGTTGCTGGAAAATGTATTAACTAAGCTAATCCAGGCCTAGAAAGAAAACACAGCAAGTTCTTTCTCATGTGTAAACTATAGCTTCTATTTTTTTCTACATGCACACTATGGGTGGGTATCAGAAAATTTGTAATTGCCTAGGAGAGAGTTGAAAATTATTTTCTGCAGAAATTCACCATATAATTCAGTCTCAAGAAATGCTATCTGTATTTTATTTAAAACCTGAAAAATCAAGATCATTTATGGGACATAGCTAATTACTGACCATACTTTTAGGCATTGCTGCTCAAGTTCAATTCAGCTATGTTCTTCTTCTTAGGAGTAATACTCCCAAGAATATTGCAGTATTCTGTTTTTGCACATTTCTACACATGCAACTATTTCTATTAGTTTCATTTTTGTTTTGATGCCTGTAATCTTTAACTAGAAAGACAAATAAAAAATATAAATAAACTGGCCACATACTCTTCCCATTTCTCTTTTCTCTGACAGGTCTATAGCACACATTCCTGACCCCTTATAAAACTGACTCAGTAGATCCAACAAGAGCAATAAGCCATTCTTCACATGCACAATTTGCTTCATTTTTGAAACAGTGTCCATTTCATTCAATAGCTGTGGAGGCAGAAGTTCACAATGATTTTTTTTGGTTTCCAAGTAAATAGAGCCGTGGGCATAGGGCTTATTTTAGGATTCTAAACACTCAGAAGATAGATTCTAAAATGGTGTTGCCTTGTGCTTATAGGTTTTTGAAGGTTCGTAAAATATTTATCTATCTGAGATATGAAGATGTACACCCCTCCCTTCTGTGTATGTGTGTGTATGGGTGTATGTGTGTGTGTGTGTGTGTGTGTGTGCAAAAAGAAAAGAAAATGTGATTGCTTGGTCTCACTTCTAGCTGCTGTAAATGATTACCATAAAATAGGTACTTAAAAAAACACTAATTATTCATTATTCTAGATGCTAGGAAGTCCTAATTCAAGGTATGGGAAAATGGCAAGTCAGATGAAGGCTTGCTTCTGGTTTTCAAATAATGGCTTGTCCTGGTATCTTTACAGTGAAGAGACCAGAGAGAGAGGTAGCATCCTCTTTTGAAAGCAAAATTTTTGTAAGAAAATGTTTCTCTCATGAATCAATTACTTATGAAAAAACTGATCTCTAAATACCATCACATTGGGCATTTGTTTTGTTTTCGCTTTTTTCCATGAAGATAACTTACATAAGAAATTTTTGACTACAGATTATTTTTTATCATAAGCATTATTCTGTATCAATTTGATGTGCCACAAACAGTTCATTACCAAATTCCCATAAACCAATGAAGCATATATATATATGTATATATGTATGTATGTATATATGTATACATGTATATTTACATGTATATGCATATGCATATATGTATATACACGTACACATACACATATATATGTATATACATATATATTTATATATATGATTATACATGTATATACATGCACACACACAAATATATATGTGTATATATGACCTGAGAATACTACCTTGATATTTTGACATTTTCCTAGTTTTTTTTTCCAGTGGGTGAGTGAAAGAAGATAGATTGCTACTGTCATCAGGCAGTCTTTCCAAAATAGATCCAGAGTTTTGCAGACCCCGGTCCTTCTTTTCAAAATATACTGTAGCAGTCACCTTAATACCTAAACCATACAAAAATCCAACAAAAAAGAGAACTTCAAGCCTATCTCTCTTACGAACATTGATGCAAAGATACTCAATAAAATACTTGCAAACTGAATCCAAGAACATATAAAAGATATCATCCACCATGACCAAGTAGGCTTCATCCCAGGCATGCAAGGGTGGTTCAATATACGGAAATCCATCAATGTAATCCACCATATAAACAAACTGAAAGAGAAAAACTACATGGTCATCTCCCCAGATTCCAAAAAAGCATTTGAAAAAATCCAACACCCATTCATGTTTCAAGTCTTGGAGAGATCAGGGATACAAGGAACATACCGAAACATAGTAAAGGCAATATACAGCAAGCCTATAGGCAACATCAAACTCAAGGGAGAGAAACTTAAATCAATCCCACTGAAATCAGGGACAAGACAAGGCTGCCCATTGTCTCCATATCTCTTCAACATAGTACTTGAAGACCTAGCTAGAGCAGTAAAACAAGTAAGGGAGATCAAGGGGATACAAATTGGAAAGGAAGAAGTCAAATTGTCACTATTTGCAGATGACATGATAGTAACCTGAGTGACCCCAAAAACTCAACCAGAGAACTCCTTCAGCTGATAAACACCTTCAGCAAAGTGACTGGATAAAAAATTAACTCAAAAAAATTAGAAGCCCTCCTGTATACCCAAGACAAAAGGGCTGAGAAAGAAGTCAGGAAAACAACAACCATCACGATAGCCACTAATAACATAAAGTACCTTGGGGTGACTCTAACCAAGCAGATGAAAGACCTGTTTGAAAAAACACTTCAAGTCTCCAAAGAAAGAAATCGAGGAAGACATCAGAAGATGGAAAGATCTCCCGTGCTCACGGATAGGTAAGATTAATATAGTGAAAACGGCCATTCTGCCAAAAGCAATCTACAGATTCAATGCAATCCCCATCAAAATACCAACACAATTCTTTACAGAATTTGAAAGAAAAATTCTCAACTTCATATGGAGAAACAAAAAACCCAGAATCTCCAAAACAGTCCTGTACAACAACAGATCCTCTGGAGGTATCTCCATCCCTGATCTCAAGTTGTCCTACAGAGCAATAGTAACAAAAACTGCTTGGTACTGGCATAGAAACAGAAAAGGTGGATCAATGGAACTACATAGAAGACCCAGAAATAAACCCACACACCTATGAATACTTGATTTTTGACAAAGAAGCCAAAACCATTCAATAGAAAAAAGACAGCATCTTCAACAAATGGTGCTTGTCCAACTGGATGTCTACATGCAAAAAAAAAAAAAAAATGAAACTAGATCCATATTTATCACCCTGCACAAAACTAAAGTCCAAGTGGGTCAAGGACCTCAATATAAATACATACACTCTGGATTGGTTAGAAGAAAAAGTGGGGAAGACCCTAGAACTCATTGGCACAGGAGACAACTTCCTGAACAGAACACCATCAGCACAGGCCCTAAGAGCAAGAATAAAAAATGGGACCTCATGAAACTGAAAAGCTTCTGTAAAGCAAAAGACTCTGTCGTTAGAACAAAATGACGAACTACAGATTGGGAAAGGATCTTCACCAACCCTATATCTGACAGAGGACTGATATCTGGAATATATAAAGAACTAAAGAAGTTAAAAGGCAATAAATCAAGTAACCCAATTAAAAAAAATGGGGTATGGAGCTGAAAACGGAATTCTCTGTAAAAGAATATAGAATGGCAGAAAAACACATAAGGAAATGTTCAACATCTCTAGCCATCAGAGAGATGCAAATCAAATGACCCTGAGATTTCACCTTACACTCACCAGAATGGCTAAGATCAAAAACTCAAGAGATAATGCATGCTGGAGAGGCTGTGGAGAAAGGGGAATCCTCCTCCATTGCTGGTGGGAATGTCAACTGCTACAACCACTATGGAAATCAATCTGGCGCTTTCTCAGACAATTAGGAAGCGTGCTACCTCAAGATCCAATTATACCACTCCTAGGCATATATCCAAAAGATGTTCAAGTACACAACAAGGACATTTGCTCAACCATGTTTGTAGCAGCTTTATTTGTAATAGCTAGAACCTGGAAACAACCCAGATGTCCATCAACGGAGGAATGGATACAAAAATTGTGGTACTTTTACACAATGGAATACTACTCAGCAATTAAAAACAAGATAATCATGAATTTTGCAGACAAATGGTGGGATCTAGAAAAAATCATCCTGAGTGAGGTATCTCAAAAGCAGAAAGTCATACATGGTATATACTCACTTATATTGACGTATAAGATAGGATAAACATGTTAATATATGTACACCTAAAGAAGATAAACAAGAAAGACATCCAGGGATAAGATGATCAATCCTCATCTAGAAAGACAAAGGGGATGGACATTAGAAATAGGAGAAAACAAATAACAGGACAGTAGCCTACCACAGAAGGCACCTGAAAGACTCTACCTAGCAGTGTATCAAAGCAGATGCTGAGACCCATAACCAAGCCTTCGGCAGAGTGTAGGGAATCATATGAAGGAAGGAAGAATTAGTATATCCTAGAGGGGACAGGGAGCTCCACAAGGTCGGAATATATCTGAGCACAGGGGTCTCCTATGAGACTGTTTATCCAACCAAGGACCATGCATGGATATAACCTAGAACCCCTGCTCAGACATAGCCCATGGTAGCTCAGTATCCAAGTGGGTGCCCTAGTAAGGGGAAAAGGAACTGTTTCTGACATGAACTCATGAGTTTCCCCTCTCCCCTGAGAGAGGAGC